AAACAACACAGCATACAGTAGGTACTCAATAAGTGTCCACTGCCACTGTCTGTTATTGCACCAGGCTCATCCTGTTACTTCCCTAGGGACAGATACTGGCCTGGGAGACGTGACCTGGTACTCCTGATGAGACCCACTGTGCTGGGCTCCCCAGGACACACCCCCCGAGAAGACGAGGAGCCTGTCATGGTGAAGCTAGAGGACTCTGAGGAGGAGGGGGAAGCTACCTTGTGGGATCCAGGCCCTGAGGCTGCACACCTACGCTTCCGGTGCTTCCGCTATGAGGAGGCAATGGGTCCACGAGAAGCCCTGGCCCAGCTCCGCGAGCTGTGTCGCCAGTGGTTACAGCCAGAAGTGCACTCTAAGGAGCAGATGCTGGAGCTCTTGGTGCTGGAACAGTTCCTGGGTGCACTGCCCCCTGAGATCCAGGCCCATGTACAGGAACAGCGGCCAGGTAACCCTGAAGAGGCTGCCACCTTGGTCGACAGGCTTCGCTGGGAACTGGGCGGGCCTCGGAGATGGGTGAGTCAGTGACCTTGAATGGAGGGTCAGGGTGGAAGCACTGTCCAGCTCTGCCTCATCTTAGGGTGCTATGCTTGTCCAGACACACCCCGCCCCTCATGGTCAGGAAGTGGCCACCTGGGGGAGGCTGCTCAGGACAGGGTGTATTCTCACCAGGTCATTCCTGCATCACCTGGAGTCACATGGCTACATGGGCTGCAGGGTAAAGGAAAAGAGAGAGGGTACCAGGCAGCCCTGAGTGTAATAAGAGAGCATCTGTGCATTGTGCTTTTCCTCCCTGCTCAGGTCCTAGGGGAGGTAGACCCTTGGAGCATCTAGTCAGTAGATATAGACTAGACAGACCTCTGGGGTCCTGTAATGGAATGGGTGCCCATGAACCCCAGGTTGTGCCCAATCCCACTCTACTTAATAGGGGCATCTCCCCAGGTCACAGTCCAGGTGCAGGGCCAGGAGGTCCTATCAGAGAAGATGGAGGCCCCCAGTTTCCAGCCTCTACCTCAAACCAGGCCTCAACCTCCAGAACCGGGGCCTGAGATGCCCCCTGGAACAGTGCAGGGATCGCCACTGCGCCTTCAAGTGAAAGAGGAGCCAGAGGCTACCCAGCATCCAGGTGAGGCCAGGCAGGGTGGACAGATGGGGTGGGGGGTTGTTCCTGGCCTGAGAAGTCTGAAGTCTACTTGGCCAGGTCTCTACTAGATGGAGTGGTTCCCATATGCCACTGGCCCCCACCTCCCACCAAATCAAGTTCCCCCCCAGCATAGCCAGCACTGTGACTATCTAACAAGCCAAGCCTGACTGCCATAGCTCACTTCCACAACTGTCCCCCAGCATGGAGCAGACTTTTGGGGTTTCCCTGTGAGAGAAAATGTGGATTCACTCCCCAGTGAGGTCCACTGAGAGTGGCTGGGGATCAGGCTGATATATAGGTGAGTGTGCTGATATATAATGATGTGCCTCCCCATTCACCTCCCAGGGAGAGTACCTGAGCCAGCCACCTACACTCCACCATTCCTATGTGGACCTGGTACAGCACCCCCTCACACACACACAGATGACCGTCCTACCTTTGTACACAGGGGTACAAAGTCACAGACCTGAGCCCACCTTATCCCACTGCAGCTCCACCACTGGCTTTCTAGGGTGCCCTCTTCACCCTACTCCCAAGCAGGCCCTCAGCTGCCCTGCCCTCCCCCACCCAAGCCTATGTCTAGGCCCTCCTCTGCCTAGATCCTGGAACCTGTCATACCGTCAAGAAGGGCAGCAGGGTGGGAAATCCCTTAGGCTACCTCACCCCACTCTTTCTCCCTAGAGTACCTGGAGTCTGGGCCTCTACCTGCTGCCCAAAAGGCTGTACCCGCCCTCTTACCTAAGGAGGCTCAGGTGAGCCCTGCACAGGACATGACCCATTCTCTGCCCTAGAAGCCTCAGTGGGTGGGTGTCAGGTCCCTCCCCAAGCCCAGTGGGCACAGATGAACAGTGAACACTGTGGTTTCAGGCCTATGGGACAGCGCTGGACCATGCCTATCCTCAGAGTGAGACTGGGCCTGAAGGGCCCTCATGGAGGGAGCACCCTGGGGCTCTGTGGCATGATGAAACTGGGGGCATCTTCTCCCCAGGTAAGTGAGACAAGACATGGTGGGGCTGGGTCCTCCTCATGGTCCACCATATCCATCAGCCCCACTCCTGGCTGTACTCAGGCAGCCCTCTCCAATGTCTCCCTTCCCCATTCTCTAGACTGTCCTCTCCAGTGTTCAACCTCCTATAGCATCTTCTGCCCTCACCAACCCCACAGTTCCTCTAACTTCTGCTCCTTAACACCATGAAACCTGCTGAGAGTGGAGTCTGTGTTCCCACACCCACATCCCCTTCCAGTCCTGGAATCCTAGGTGAGTTGCAGACTCAAAGCTTGCCTCCTGCTGTCCTAGCATCAGGGCGAATAGCAGGTTACAGACAGGGCAGGAGAGACCTTCACACAGTACAGGGATCCAGCAAGGACAGACCAGGAGCCTTCCCAGTCACCCCAAGTCCCCCTCTTCCTTGGTTTGCTTCCTTGTGTGATATTCTTATCTCTTCACTCCAGTCTTCTTCCATCCTTGTGCATTTCCACTCTACTTGTGAAATTTTCTTACTTATATCTTCTATATATTCTGTTACATTTTCATTTCTGTTAGAAAACTTTTAATCTCTAAAAGTGTTTTCATTCTCTGAATTGTTCATTTTTATAGTTGCTTCCTATTGTTCCATCAGTTGTAACATCTTCCTTTATTTCTGTGAGGACAGCAATAACTTCTTTTTTAAAGCTTTCTTTTCTCAATATAGTCTCTTTCCCTTCCAAATTGTTTGTTTACATGTAAGATAGGGAGGACACAGATTTAGCCAGGAGCTCTGAGCAAGAGGGTGAGGGGCTTATGGGTTGTAGGGAACAGGGCTGAGAGGAACATGGGGACTTACTCCATCAAGAAGATCCACCTTTTGGGGGTATGATTAAGTGACTGGAGTATGAGTAGATGCATTGAGAAATCCACAGGACAGTCTGGTTGGGCTACTCCCTGCTATGAGCATCCTTAGTTTCTTCCCGAGTCCCCATTCAGCCTCCTGCCTACATGCTTGTGGAGAAGATGATGTCCTAGCACTTAATCCTTCTGCCTTTCTCAGTGTGGTCCTCCCACTTTCCAGTAAACAGTCACAGCAGTGCATACTGTTGGCCAGAATCTGTGCAGACAGTCCATAGCAGCAACATGATTGCCCCACTCATTCACCTATAGCCATAAGTACCTGGTATCTCCAACTCCAGAGCTTTTAGAAGCTTCTTTGGAGTAAACCAGTGTGGTTTTTTCCAACATCTCATCTTTCTCACTGCTAGTTTAGTGTTTACCTTTTCCAGTCTGCAGCAGTTACCATTTTCCCATTTTTCCAGAGCAGAAAATGTCAAATGTTTGTTTACTTCTCTCTTGTCTTTAAAAAAAATAAGGTTGGGGTTGTGGCTCAGTGGTAGAGCACTCGCCTCGCATGTGTGAGACCTGGGTTCAATCCTCAGCACCACATAAAAGTAAATCAGTGAAATAAAGGTATTGTGTCCAACTACAACTCAAAAATAAGCATTTTTTAAAAAAAAATAAATAAAATAAAATAAAGCTAAAATAGGCAGGCACAGTGGTGGCATGTGCTTGTAATCCTAGCAACTCGGAAGCTAAGACAGGAGGACTACAACTTTGAGGACAGCCTTGGCAACTTAAAATTGCCTTCTCAAAATTTTTTTTAAAAGCTCAAAGGCTGAGGCAGGAGGATCACAAGTTCAAAGCCAGCCTCAGCAATTTAGCGAAGCACTTAACAACTTAGAGAGACCCTGTCTCTAAATAAAATATTTTAAAAAAGGGCTGGGGAATGTGGCTTAGGGGTTAAGTGCCCTGGGTTCAATCCCCAGTACCAAATTGGGATAAATAAAGCTAAAACAAAAAGAACTTAAGTTGCCAAGACTTGTGATCTTCCTGCCTCAGCCTCCCTAGTGTCTGGAATTAGAGGCACGTACCACTGAGCCCAGCTTCTGCTGTTATTTATTTATTTTTTTTTTATCAGCTAGCATTCTAGCTGGGCATGGTGGTGCATGCCTATCATCCCAATGATTACAGGCAGGAGGATCAAAATTTCAAGGCCATCCTCAGCAACTTGGCAAGGCCCGTAGCAATTTAGTGGGACCCTGTGTCAAAATTTTAAAAAATTTAAAAGTCTAGGGATGTGGCTCAGAGATTAAGCACCCCTGGGTTCAATCCCCAGAATCAGAAAATGAATCAATAAATAAGGATTCTAACTCACTCTTTATTTATAATGTCCTTGTGTCGTGGATGCTGATCCCTCCTTTTGAGGATTTGGAAATACTCATAGTATCCTTTGCAGGCAGGCCAGTTAGCTATATCTTCAGGTGTGAAGTCTCCCACTGGCTGGGTTATTGACAGCCTGCCCTCTGAAGTTCTGGGAGCTTCTTGTTTCCCCTACTGTAAGCCTCATCGTAGGTGTGGGGCTGCTAAAGGGCCCATCATAACCTTGAAGTAGAAGGATCATCTGGGACCTGGACCATTCAGTACAGACACCTCTGCCTGCAACCCAGCCAGAAGCAAGCAGCTCATTCTTGGCCAGGTTGGTGAGTAGACAACTAATCCAACCCATTTCCACAACCCCAGCTGCCTGAGGAAGCCTGGCTTCAGTCCAAAGGTCTCCACAGCCTAAGGGCTGCTTTAGAATTAACTGCTCTAGGCTGGGTTTTTTTGTTTTTGTTTTTTTGTTGTCCTTGTTGTTTAAGTCACACTGTATTGCCCAGCTGACCTCAAACTCTGGGCTCAGGCAATCTTCCTGCCTCAGCCTCCTAAGTAGTTGGGACCACAGGGATGCACCACTGTGCCCAACTGAACCAGGCTCTTGATTCCTGAATCTCACCAACTGCCCTTTCTTACTTCAGAGCTGCCCAAGATATTTTTTTTCCATGCCAGAAGGGAAATATGCCAACATCATAAATAGGTTTGAGGGAGCCTATTTCATGTAATGGCATGGAAACCCCATCAACAAATTTATAAACTACAGAAAGCTCTTCCCCAAATAGTTTTAAAGCCCTTCTTTCATTTTGTCTGCATTTTTGCACATTGGAGAAGAAAGTAGCATCCAGCACATGCCACTTCTGCTACTCCAGCCTTTAGCTGCCTACCTAGGGCTGGCCTGTGCCGCATGGCTGACCACTTCCTCTAGCTTGAACCTGTTTCTCTTAATTCACAACCCCACAGTCTCTCTCGTCTCAGACTCTGTCTCAGCACTGCCTTGGACTCCTTGGCTAGTTCCTTCTCTGTAGCCCATTCTCCTCAGGCTGCATGCAGACAACCGGCTCTTAGCAGCACTCACTGATTGTTCAGTGAGTGCCTCTTTGGTACTCCTCTCGGACCTCTCAGCTGCTTCTCTTGTCCCCCAATTATGCCTCTTCTGGCAGCCAGAGTTCTTTTTCTTTTTTTCTTCTTTTTCCTTTGATGGTGAAGATTAAACCCTGGTTCTTGCCCATGCTAAGCATGAACTCTACCACTGATTTATCCCCTTAGCCAGTCTTCTTTTTAATGTTATCGTCATGAGAATACTTTGAATAGATAATGCAGTCACGTATTAGAAAATTCAAAAGGTCCAAAAGAACATTCAGAAGACTGCTTCCCAACAGCCAACATTACCAGTTTCTTCCAGAAAGTTTCTGTATGTGTAGGATACATATATAGTCATATGCCACATAGTGATCTTGGGCAACCTGGTCCACAAATCCAGTGGTGGTCTTATAAGGCTATATTGCTTACTGGAGTTAGGGAAGTAGCTCAGTGGTAGAGCATGTGCTTAGCATGCATGATGCCCTCAATTCAACCCCCAAAATGCAAGCACACACACACAGAAAAATATATATATTATATTCCTACTGACATCATAGCCATCACTCTGATATTTACACAACAAAACCACGCAATACTTCTCAGAACCATTCTGAGAAACATAGTTAAGCAACACATGACTATACAGACATATGTTCATTTTCCTTCTTTAAAACACATGTGGGAAAAAGAAAAAAATTTAAAAACATATGACCAGTTGTGGTGGAACACACCTATAATCTCACTGACTTGGGAGACGAGAGGATTGCAAGTTCAAGAACAACCTGGGCAATTTAGTGAAACCCTGTCTCGAAAAGGTCTGGGGATGGCCAAGCACAGTGTCACATGTCTGTAATCCCAGCAGCTCGAGAGGCTGAGGCAGGAGGATCACAAGTTCAAAGTCAGCCTCTGCAAAAGTGAGGCACTAAGCAACTCAGTGAGACCTTGTCTCTAAATAAAATATAAAATAAGGCTCGGGGGATGTGGCTCAATGGTCAAATGCCCCTGAGTTCAATCCCTGGTACCAAAAAAAGGGGGGGGGGGGGCTGGGGATGTAGCTCAGTGTTAAAGTGTCCCAGGATTCAATCCATAGTACAAAAGAAAAAAGAAAGGGAAAGGGAAGAGAGAAAAGAAAAAACTCACATATGGCTTATTTCCACCTGTTCCACACCTGGCATTGCCCACTTCAACAAACAGCAGGGGGCACCCTAGGACTTTGAATGCACATAGAAGTATGTGCTATGGCTTACTGTGGACACACCATCCAGGTTCTTACTGGCATTCCTTTGGGCTGCTTTTCATTAACTCTGAAAAACCTTAGGCTGGAGAGACTAGCCACTTTTAACACAGGTAGGGATGCAACTGTTGGAGAAATGTCTGAAAATAGAATTACTAGGGCAAAAGGTGGTACATTTACTGTTTTGATGCCGTTTTTTAGTGGCTTCCCGTTTATGCTCACCAGTCATGCATGTGAACACTTGAGCCCCTGCATTGAGAATGTGGGAATGGTGAATGAGTTCAGCCCTACTGTGCATTTTTCTTAGAGGATACAACTTGTTTTATGGGGTTTCTTCACATCCTTTGACCATGTGTCAAGTCATTAGTCTTTTTTGTTGATTTATTGAAGCTCTTTACCGAAGAAATTAATCAGCCCTGCCTCTGGAGAGTTTTTCAGTTTCCCATTATTTTGACTCCGTATTGTTTTTTGTTAATTTCCTTTGATACATTCTAATACAACTGATGCTTATTTGAGGGCTTATTGATTTTCCATCACACACTATAATGCTCACCACTCTCAGTCTTCTTTATTTAACCTCCAGGATTCCCTTCTTTCCAGCTCATGCTTCTCAGTTGCCTTTGCTGACATTCAGTGTCTTATCTCTGGATTGTTCACAGCCTGGCTGGGGTCTACTTCTCTCCTCCACAAGACAGGCCTCTGTTAATCAAATGCAGGCACAGGGCTCTGTATGACCTGTGTATACACCAGGCTCATGTTTCACCAAAGCCTGCATGAAGTCTATTCCTCCTGTGTGCCACAGGCAGCTCAAGTCAGACACATCCAATTCCAGGACCAAAGTCTAGGAGCTTGTCTTCCTGCACCACCACCCCCCATCCTTTCCTATGGGCGCTGCCTCCAGCCTTCCTCAGACCCACCCAATCTCTGCATGGCAGAGCCCATTACTGTCTACCCAGACAGTGCAAAGGCTGCCTGCCCCACTGTTGCCCTAGAGCCTTTCCAGAACCAGGCTGTTTTTTTCCTGCTTAAGTCAAGCCACGAAAGCCTTTTCACATAGCCCAGTCTCTTCTCATTCTGGGCTCTGTCCCATTGTCACCTAGGGGAAACCTACACGGATAGAATCCCTGCTCCCGCCTTGCCACCTATCTGCTCCTTTGGTCTGTTTCAAGCCTCTTCTAATTCATACTGTATACCCAGGGCTGAAGTGGGTCTGGGCACAGAGGGCACTCTCATGAATGAGTGGGTCCCTCTTGTGCAGGGTTTGCGCTCCAGATGGACAGCGTCTCCACAGAGCCAGGTACTGTGAGCAGCCCCCTCCGTGTCCCCTGGGATATGGGCGTGGCCAGTCTCTCCAGCCGAATAGACTCTCCCTCCCACGAAGGTGGCTTTGTGCATGCAGTTGTGCTCCCCAGTGACCCAGGAAGTGAGCTGGACCCCACTATAGAGGCTGTCCGGCCCGGCATGGGACCTGCACTAGTTGCTGCCCGCTGGCGCACCCCAAGGGGCCGCAGCCGGGGCCGAGGCCGCCCCAGCACTGGGGCTGGGGCAGCGCGGGGCGGCCGTTGCGACGTGTGCGGCAAGGTATTCAGCCAGCGCAGCAACCTACTGAGGCACCAGAAGATCCACACAGGCGAGCGACCGTTTGTGTGTGGCGAGTGTGGCAGAAGCTTCAGTCGCAGTTCGCACCTGCTCCGCCACCAACTCACGCACACCGAGGAGCGGCCATTCGTGTGCTGCGACTGTGGCCAGGGCTTCGTGCGCAGCGCGCGGCTGGAGGAGCACCGGCGAGTGCACACTGGGGAGCAGCCCTTTCGCTGTGCCGAGTGCGGCCAGAGCTTCCGGCAGCGCTCCAACCTGCTGCAGCACCAGCGCATCCATGGCGACCCCCCAGGCCCAGGCTCTGCACCCCCCGCCCCTCCCGGCGCACCAGAGCCACCGGGTCCTTTTCCGTGCAGTGAATGTCGCGAGAGTTTCACGCGGCGCGCGGTGCTGCTAGAGCACCAGGCAGTGCACACAGGCGATAAGTCCTTCGGCTGCGTGGAGTGCGGCGAGCGCTTTGGCCGCCGCTCGGTGCTGCTGCAGCACCGGCGCGTGCACAGCGGAGAGCGACCCTTTGCCTGCACCGAGTGTGGCCAGAGCTTCCGGCAGCGCTCCAACCTCACGCAGCATCGGCGCATCCACACGGGAGAGCGGCCCTTCGCCTGCGCGGAGTGCGGCAAGACTTTCCGCCAGAGGCCCACGCTCACACAGCACTTGCGCGTGCACACAGGTGAGAAGCCCTTTGGCTGTCCGGAGTGTGGCCAGCGCTTCAGCCAGCGTCTAAAGCTCACACGCCACCAGAGGACACACACTGGCGAGAAACCCTACCACTGCGGCGAGTGCGGCCTGGGTTTCACGCAAGTCTCACGGCTCACTGAGCACCAGCGCATCCACACGGGCGAGCGGCCCTTCGCCTGCCCCGAGTGTGGCCAGAGCTTCCGGCAGCACGCCAACCTCACCCAGCACCGGCGCATCCACACCGGGGAGCGACCCTATGCGTGCCCCGAGTGTGGCAAGGCCTTCCGCCAGCGGCCCACACTCACACAGCACCTTCGCACCCACCGGCGAGAGAAGCCCTTTGCTTGCCAGGACTGCGGCCGTCGCTTCCACCAAAGCACCAAGCTCATCCAGCACCAGCGTGTCCACAGCGCTGAGTAGCTCCAGCCATGCACTCACTGCTTAGTAAAACACCTACCTCACAGTGTTGTTGAGGCTGGCGGTGGCATAGGAGCAAGAAGGCCCCACCAGGGCCTGGCCCCCAGTAGGTGCTTAAGAAAAAGTGGACTGCCAAGCATGATGATGCACACCTAGAATCTAGCTACTTGGGAGACGGAGGCATTAGGATCAAGTTCAAGGCTTGCCTGGGCAGGACCCTGTCTCAAAAAGGGCTATGATGTAGTTCAATAGTAAAGAGCCCCTGAGTTTAATCCCCAGTACCAAATAAGTAAATAATAAACAGTAGACAGCCATTGGGTCTGCCCACTCAGTGCCTCTGCGCCTGCTCATTCTCCTCTGCCCACCTCCACTCCTACGCTGGTACACTCCCTGTGCCTCTGCATGCCCCTGTGAAGGCCCTGCCACCCCTAGCCCTGAGGTGGCTCCGAACACACCCATCCCCTCTGTGGGACAGCCCTTTTATATGCCTCTGGCTACACAGAAGAAACACCCAGCAGGTCGGGCAGAGTGGTCACGGGCAGAAGTTCTTAGTCTTCCAGACCCACAGAGGAGAAAATGTTCTCTGTATCTGCCACACAGTGCCTGACCATCAATCAGGGTCTAGTCCAGAAAGAGTCCCAGCAGATATTTTAACAGAGCTGCTAATTGGTATGAAGTGATTAGTGATTATTGCAAAAGCTAGTCAAGCTCAAGGAGAGACCGTCCTTGTGGGGCTTCTCAGACTCCCTTAGTAGAGTCCC